TCCTCAGCTCTTGTTTAACTCTCGTTATGCCATTCTACGAACCCATTTGTTCTAACCAAAGTGTTGAAGATTAACTTTTGAACTGAGTTACGGACGATAACTCAGCAACGAAGTCGCTGCTGTGCTGTCTTTACCCATCCCTTCCTTTACCCCCTTAAGTCAAACCTGCATTACAAGCAAGTCTAATTAACAAAATAAATGGCAATAAAACCAAAGTCTTGGTATGTAAAAGCCTGCACTTTATTCCATTTCCGTTCACGCGTAGGAGTGCCCACTTCTGGTCATTCATAGAAAGTGGAAAAACAGAAATGGACTTTTTTCTCCCCACCTTTTCCATTGTTAATTTGGTGGTGATATAGCTGAAGCAAGGGAATCTCAAAAAACGACCTTATTTTCATCACTTTTTATCTCAGCATTTAACAGAGATTGGTCGAGAGAAAAGGTAAAAAACTGTCAGATAAGGGTCAACTAATTGCATGGTATATACCTCATATTTGAAATAGATTGCGTTAGACCCGTTTTGCCCACTTCCTAATTTCTCAAATGACCAGGTTTTTGGATTACGTGATGGACAAAGGTGATAAGACGGTGTCCATTAAACCAGACACGTAATCCCAGGACCTGGCGGAGGCGAATGAAAACACGACAACATACCAACATACCCAGCATGGCCTCCTTATTGCAATCTGACTTGGCAATGCCGAACGATGGTTGTCCACCCGGATCAAGTCGGTCAATGACGAACTCCCAATAGTGAATGCCGCGTGAGAGACCCGTGGAAGCCAAAGCGACGCACTCCTCCATCGACTGACAAGTCAAGGAGCGGTTGGAGTTGGAAAACTGCAGGCCTCCAACCGAGGAACGGGAGGAGTCCATGTGAAACCAGGAGTCTGAAGACATTCCACAGATATAATCTTTCTAAAAGTGATCCATCTACTACCGTATCCAAACAAATGGCTTAGATAATCTTCTACTACCAAAATAGGCGAGTCTGGGCGGTGCTAAACAGCCCACAATCTGTTCCGTTATCAGGTGGTGGAATGTTCCATCTAGCAGCAGACACACCAAGAATGCAAAAAAGGTGGTAAGCGGGTATTTTTGAGGCTTCTTAATCACCCATTTTAGGATGTGTAGCACTTTTATGTTGGCAGTTGTTCCTTCATGAGGGAAAATCAGCCCGAAATGAGGAGCAACGAATATTCTTCATTTCTCCTTCGCAGAAAAAAGGCGATTTAAATTGAGGGTTGAATATTAGAGTAATTACTTGTAAAAAGTGATTCATCACCCCAAAAAGCCTTCCATTCCCTCATTCTCTCGTCTCTTTTAAAATTCCTCTTACTCATCGAAGGGACGTGTGGTGTCACAGATGTGTGACGACATAATGCCAACGGCTTATCTTCACTACACCTAAAAGGTATGCTTTATTTTTTTTTGATAAATATGGAAAGTATATGCATAAGACTATTTTCGATACTCTTTTATCACATTAAAAACTATCGTCCTCTCCCTCCGTCGAGGAAATGTGGGATTTATGCGTCCCCAATGAATGCATTAATGGATGCCCAAATTAGCTCATTAATAGCCCAGGATAGCATAAATCAAATTATTACTTCCTATTTACATAAACCTACTTAAAAGGCTTAAATTTTAGACTAAAATTAAATCAGTTTTGTCCTTTTTATAAGGTTTGCGTCCTATTTTTTTGTTAAAAGACCTTTCATTTTCCTCCGTCGATGGAGTTGGACAGAGGTGGCATTAGGCACATCTGGAGGGCTTCAGATCGGTAAAAGCAATCATCACCACTCCACACCATCTATTATTTGTTTCCCCATCTCATTTCATGCAAGAAAAACCTTGATGCGGCACCTTTGTTTCCGAAGGGTGGAAAGACACTGATTCCTCTTGAGGGTGGCGTGAGAGCGGGAGTAACTCCTTATCCAAAATGGAAATAATAAGATACCAAGGAAAAGCAGATGTCGTGTGGTTACCGGTGTCGATCGGGTCAATTACCTTAAAGAGGACTGTGAAGACCAGTAAAATGCATTCCAATGCTGGCAAGTCGGTCAATCAGTACCAGTCGACTCCA